GCTCACATCAACAGATTCTTACAATCCAGTCAGTGTAACTCTACAGTAAGGAGATGCACAAGAAACAGTGGAAACAAAGGATTATAGGTGTTGCGAAAGATGTGAGTTGGAGATAAAGCTTAGTGGTATAGCATGTGCCAAGTATGTACAACGTCCTGGGTTTGATTCCTAGCACTGTCAAAAAAGGGAGGACAAGGAGGCAGAGGAAGCCAGAGGACACCAGGGAGAGTACTACCACCTAGTGAAGAACTGCTAGGGAAGGGGTTGTAGGAGGTGGTCATTAAAGGAACAAACCTTACAGTTGTTGGGACACCAAGTGCTTGTTTGGTGTGAAGCTCAAGGAAAAATCTGAATTGAACTTTGTGAATTGCTGACGAGTAAGAACTAAATACTAGAGAGGCAAGCCTTTTCAGTGAATATAGAGTCTGTCCCCCCCCCCTCCCGCCCCATCAAAGCTCTTGTTCCTCCCAACTCCCCAACTCCAGCTTAGTGTCTATGCCTTTTTCTCAAAGGGATGATCATGGCTTCTCGCCCTTACACTGGGCTTGCCGGGAAGGCCGCTCTGCGGTGGTTGAGATGCTGATCATGAGGGGAGCACGGATCAATGTCATGAATCGTGGGGATGATACCCCCCTGCATCTGGCAGCCAGTCATGGACACCGTGACATTGTACAGAAGGTATGGCAAACCCTTCACCACCCACAATCTCATACACACACAATGTGAAGTCAGTAACAGGAACTGTCATGGAGAATGTGTACTGTTCTCCCTTTCCTCATGCCTAGACACAAATATCTCATTTAGGACTGACTGTGCCTTTTTTCTTTCTTGGCCACGGCACAGCTGTTGCAATACAAGGCTGACATCAATGCAGTGAACGAGCACGGGAATGTGCCCCTTCACTATGCCTGTTTCTGGGGTCAAGACCAGGTGGCAGAGGTAAGTACTCAGACCCCAAGTCCTAGGATGAGTGGGAAACACATTGAGAATGGAACCATCAACCCATCCGGTCCTACTGTGTGACACTTATAGGACTGTGCACTGCATCTCTGTGTTCATGCTTGCTTGTGACTGGCAGTAACAGAGGCCCTCTGAATAATTGTCTTTTCTTTTCAGGACCTGGTGGCTAACGGAGCTCTTGTAAGCATCTGTAACAAGTACGGAGAGATGCCTGTTGACAAAGCCAAGGCACCCCTTAGAGAGCTTCTCCGAGGTCCACTCTCTTCCCCTAGCTTGTGTCCTCTTGTCCCATCTTGCGTCTCTTCCCTCCATACCACAATTAAGGCTAAGACTGTTTTCCTCCCCAGAACGGGCAGAGAAGATGGGCCAGAATCTCAACCGTATTCCATACAAGGACACATTCTGGAAGGGGACCACTCGCACTAGGCCCCGTGAGTCACTACTGTGGGGGGAGGGGTTGTAATACAGGATCCTGGACTATTGGGGTGGGTTAGGGTGAAGCTGGGTACTTGACCTGCCCATATTCTCAGGAAATGGAACCCTGAACAAACACTCCGGTATTGACTTCAAACAACTCAACTTTCTGGCAAAGCTCAACGAGAATCATTCTGGAGAGGTGATCCCTGCCCTTCTTGCCCCTCCCTCTCTAACAATCACAAACTGCCAGTCTGTATCTCCAATTAAGGTTTTCTTCCACTTAGTGGAAAGGAAATAGTATAGCCTGAGGTAATGCCTCCTAACCTCTACCTGTCCTTCAGCTATGGAAAGGCCGCTGGCAGGGCAATGACATTGTTGTGAAGGTGCTGAAGGTTCGAGACTGGAGTACAAGGAAAAGCAGGGACTTCAATGAGGAGTGTCCTAGGCTCAGGTGGGACAGCTAAAGTGGAAGCTGTTGTTTCTAAGGAACTCCAAATAGTACTGAAAAGGGAAATTCTGTTGCGTCTCACCACCTTCTCCCTCTCGCAGGATTTTCTCACATCCAAACGTGCTTCCAGTGCTAGGTGCTTGCCAGGCTCCACCAGCTCCCCACCCAACCCTTATCACACACTGGATGCCATATGGATCGCTCTACAATGTACTACATGAAGGCACCAGTAAGGATGCTGGCCTTGTTGGGGAGGGACTAGAATGGGTGGTAGACTCTAAATTATTGATTCTTGCTTCCTGTTAGATTTCGTTGTGGACCAGAGCCAAGCTGTAAAGTTTGCTTTGGACATGGCAAGAGGCATGGCTTTTCTCCACACACTAGAGCCTCTCATACCTCGACATGCACTAAATAGCCGTAGCGTAATGGTGAGGCCACATTCACTACTGGCTCCCGAAGCCCTTTGCTTGCCGACAATAGGACCCACCTTTTTGAACTTCTCTTCCTCAGATCGATGAAGACATGACTGCTCGAATCAGCATGGCTGATGTCAAGTTCTCTTTCCAGTGCCCTGGGCGCATGTATGCACCTGCCTGGGTGGCCCCAGAAGGTAGGTGAAGGCATCATGTTGGGAAATTGAGAAGAATCAGCTCAGTAACAGTAGAAGAAGCAGAGACAGGCAAGGCTAGGCAACTAGAATAGTAAGCCCTATTCCTTCCAGCCCTGCAGAAGAAGCCTGAAGACACAAACAGACGCTCAGCAGACATGTGGAGTTTTGCAGTGCTTCTGTGGGAACTGGTGACACGAGAGGTGCCTTTTGCTGACCTCTCTAATATGGAGATTGGAATGAAGGTGAGCACAGAACTGCAGATACTTGTGTAGGGGTAGTGGTGATGACAATCACTGTGGTAAGCTCTTCTCACAATTTGTACAGATAAATAATAATCCCATTGAAAGGTCAAAACTTTTTACCAAATGATCAACTCAAAATCTAAAGCTCATCTTGTTCCTTATAATTTGCAGGTGGCACTGGAAGGCCTTCGGCCTACCATTCCACCAGGTATTTCCCCACACGTGTGTAAGCTCATGAAGATTTGCATGAACGAAGACCCTGCAAAGCGACCCAAGTTTGACATGATTGTGCCTATCCTGGAGAAGATGCAAGACAAGTAGGACTGGAAGGTCCTTGCTCAAACTCCAGAGGTGTCAAAATATGGTTGGGGGAGTGCACTTCCCCAAAGCTGAAGGCCTCTGGTTGCCTCCCCATCTCCAATTATGGTACTACCCCAGTTATGGGGCTCATCCCTGCTCCCATCCCTACCACTGTAGCCCCAAAAGGGGCTGGGCTCAGAGCTTTGTCACTTGCCACATGATGTCTCCCAACATGGGAGGGATAAGCCCTGCCTGTCACAATAAAGTTTATTATGAAAACAGGCTGGTGTGGGGACAGAGGAAAAGACAAATACGTCTGGGTTAGGTGGCTCAGGTGAAGTAGTGCGGCTTCTTCACATTGATACCATATTCGCTGAGGGCAGGGGTCAAGTCCTCCATTGTAAGGGTGTACTTGCGGTCCTATGGGAAGAGGGAAGACCACCATCTGAACACCGTAATCCCAGATTCCAGTCCCTTGTGGGTGACCCTGAGTAGGCCCAATACCTCCCCTAGGATGCTGCTTCCCCAAAGGGGTTTCAGGATAAGTTAATCCTGTACTGCTGTGGTGGGTGAGCCTTCTTTCACACCTTGCTCTTGCTCCGGGAGCTGCCTGAGGCTGTGCCCTTCATTTTGCAGTGCTGTAGGGCATCGTTGGCAATATCTGAGATGAATTTCTGGGCAGCTAGTGAGATGAGCCGAATTCTAGAGAGGAAAGTGGGGAGGTAATAATGAAATATATAGTAAACTGCACCCAGCATTCAACAGTCCAATGTGCCCTGCCCTGAGCTTACTCACATGCGTGGGTCTGAAGCTTCAAAGCCAGCACGGTTCAGGTAATAACCAGTCACTGCATCTGGGATCTGAGAAATCAAATTAAACAGCGGTCAGTATTATCCCTGACCCCTGATGCGCTGGGTGGGAAGAAGGAATAAAAAGAGCTAGCACTGTAGCAAAGAGGACGCTTGAAAGCACGAAGGTGTGGTTGAAAGGCACGACAGCGAGCCAGATGGCCTTATTCAGGCGGGAAGCCCACCGTAGGAGTGTAATCCTCCAGCTGCATCAAGAAGTCCACAAGAGGCGTGCTGGACACTACGGGCTTCACTTCTCCGTTGGCCGCGCTCGGCAGGGCGTAAACCCCATTAGACATTGCCCCTTCAGGGGGAGCCGCGCCGCCCGCTGCCACCGAGGCTGAAGGAGAATTAACAACGGAGGTGAGAAGAGCAGGCTCCCCCGCCGCGGGGCCCAGTCCGAGACTGCCCCCTCCCTCACCCAGCCCGGCGCTCACCCGGCCCGCGCCGCTCCGCCGGCTCCCCGGCTCGCGCCGCCACGGGGCCCGTGCCCGTAGTGGCGACTCCAGCCCCGGGTCCCCCTGCCGTCCCCGCAGGGCTGGCCTTGTTCTCCGCGACTGTGCTGGGGGGCAGCGCTGCAGGAGCCGATACAGGGGGCGCCGGACCCGCGACCGAAGCGGCACCAGCCGGTGCCGCCTCGGGGTCCGCGCCGGAGCCGCTGCAGCTCATGGGGCTGGTGGGAGAGGCGGCGAACAGAGCCGCTTCCGCTTCCGCTCGCCCAGGCGCACGCCGCGTGACGTCACAGTTCCCGCCCACCACTCTAGGCGGGCCTGCGGCCGGCAGTTCCAAAGCCGCTGCAGCAGGCGACCTCTTGTTGACTGTGAGCGGACTAGGTGTAGCCTGCAAAGTGGAGGCGAGCTGTGAAAGGTTATGGCCGTCACCCCGCGGTTCAACCCACGCCAGAGTGGAGCCGCAGAGCATTCAGGACTGTGCACACTTCACTTGGGTGCAGACTTTGCTTGGGGACTCTACTACCAGTCCTACTCTACCAGTCCTTCTCTACTACCAGTCTTCCTGACAATCTTTATTCTTTGTAGTGCCCTTACTCAGCCTTTTACGGGTAATAGTGAATTTGGTGAGTATCCCTCCCACCCACAACGGTCCTAGGAGTGTGCTGCTGTAAATGGAGAGAGAGGTGTTTCACCATGAAGAAATAATATGCCACAGTCAGCGAGTGAAGCACATTTGCAATTCAACAGTCATTTATTTAATTCCTAATTGCCAGCTACTGGGCTGGAACCTAGGAATACAAAGTAGGATAAGATTCTGGTTCACTAGCAACACTGGTCTGGGAAAGGAAGGCAATCGAACTGGCAATTTCAATACTGTATGGTTATTTCCCAGCTACATGTAGGTACAACACAATGAAGAATGAGAGCTAACATCAGCTACCTAATTCCAAGTGTCCGATATTATCAATGTTTATTCCCTGATTTTGAAGGCAGGTTTCGATGCTCCTGACTTTTACCCAGTAATCTTTGAAGAGTTTGTACAAGTAAATATACTGTTTGATCTGGAAGATGACTTACCCATGGGTAGGAAGTCAGGGATATTGAGGGGCTTTGGGAATGGCTCCCCACCTGCGGTTTAGAGGAAAACAACATGGGCTCAAAGCTAATGCAGTAGCAGTAGAGATGAAGAGGTGTGTGTGTGTGTGTGTGTGTGTGTGTGTGTATTTTTGAGGCAGAGTCTCACTTTATGTGGACCAGGATGGCCTCAAACTCACAAAGACTTGCCTGCCTCTGCCTCCTGAATGCTGGGATTAAAGGTGAGCACCACCACACTGGCTGATAAAGATGTATTAGAAAGGTAAAATCAGTAAACCTTGTTCATTGAAGTTAATAAGGAGGTGAAAAAAATGAGAGTTAAGGGTTATAGGTTTTTGGTTTGTTTGGAAGAGGCATTGTATCATATACCAAGAGATAAAATAGTTGAGGTTTGGGTAAGAGGGAGATGAAGTATTGAGGTATCTTCCATTTGAGGTATCTGTCAATCACTATGGGTATAGATGTCAGTGATTTGTTTGAGGGATGATGAATAAAATGATAAAAGCAAAAAACTAAGGCTAGAGCAATGAAGAACACCTGAATTCCAGGAGTTAGTGGGAAAGGAGGCAAACTGGTGTGGTTAGGGTGGATATGCACTGGAAGCCAAGGAGAAAGGATGAATGAGAAACTGAAGGAAAGAGCAAAACCCCAGGTTTACAGAAGCTAGATGTTTATGAATATCTAACAGCTGAAATAAAAACCAAATATCGCTTTATCGTAGCCAAGAAGGGGGAAGTAAAATGTAAATTAAATTACAAAAAAAATTGTTGAAGCAAAATTTAAAGGTGACATTCATTTGTAATGACCTATTTATTTTGTTGAGAAATGTTGCCGATGAGAACATATTTAAAACACTTTGAGTTTACAAATTTTTAACTTTCTTTAGAATATGAGATTGTTGGCAACCTGTTCTTCAAAAAAAAAAAAAAAACCATAAAACAAAGATTGAGAAGTGTATCCTGCATAAAATGTCAGGGAGACCATTTCGCCTCAGTGCCAGGGGAAGAAAAACTAAACAGTTAGCGCAACGGTCTCATTACAGTGCATTAGGAAGAAAACTTGAAGAGAAATAGAGCATACAGTCAGTGCAGAGGTGGTAAGCCCCAGACGGGCCTGACAGTATCAGTAATGGGAAGACAACATCCTCATCCTCTTTTCACATCTCAAGTTGGAAAGAGGAAGAAGAGACGGGGAAGGGTGAGACAAAATATGCTGGTTATAACATCTTGTTGAGTTAGGAGACCTGAGTTTGATGGAACACAGTAGGGTTGGGAATCAAGTCCTGCTCGCAACATTTGAGGATTAGGGAAAAGATGTCTGCAGGAGGCAAGAGTTAAGAGTTTAGCAGGGCTTCCATTGAGGCAGAATAGGGGACTAAGCCTTCTCCAGTAGCACAGGGAACAGTTCTGCTTTCCCAGCAGGAAAGGGTCAAGGGTTGAGTAGAGTCTTCAGTAGGGCTGGGAAGTTGGGTGTTCCCCAACCTGTCACAGGATCCCAACCAGGACCAGAGCAGAAACCCTGACCCTCCACTTCTTCATTCAGACAGGACTCATGGCAGCCATGGGTTACCTGGGAGGAGGTGGTAGACATCAGATCTGGGCCTGCTGATACCAGTACTTCTACAGTGTACCTTATTTATATTCATATCACAGAGACAATCCCATATAGCAAAAGTGCCCCAAGTTCACATTAGCCCTTCCCATATCCTATGACAACATCCACCCTCTTTCCTCCAACACTTACATCAAAGAGGCCTGCCCCATGCTGTTTATAGAGCCTTGGATTGAGAAAGCCAAGAGGGGGGCGGCCATTGAGGATTCTGTGCTCATTTATCAAGGATAAAATTCCCCCAAACACTGGAGTAGAGGCCTGCAAGATGAAGATGCAATAATAGGTCAGGGTTTCAGAGTGATTCGACTTTTGCGGAATGATTCTTGCAAAGATCAGAAGTCTCTAAGGAGTCAAGGATTCTGGGTACAAGATTTTGTGGGTAGAGGAATAAGGGTAGTTCCTGAGTAGAGGGTTTAGAGCCAAACTGATTCTCACCGAGGTTCCAGATACCCATGGAATGGGGACCCTGTTGCTGACTACCCAGTAGCCATCAGAAAGTGCAGCAACGTCTGGGTAGGCACGGCCACTAGCATTGAAGTAACTAGATGGTGGTAGATGAGAGCTGGACTTCAGGAACTGGGCCACTGCTTCCCCCTGAAGGACATTTCTGAGTCTGAGTATTGGCCAGTAGCCTGTTCAGCAGGCTGTTGGACTGAGGATCACTTCCCCCACCCCACTGCTATCCTCCATATATCCACATGAACATGCACAAACCTGGTATGAAGGCTGTGGGAAAACATTGCTGAAGCCTCCACCACTGATATAGTCGACTACTTCATTTGTGATGAAGAATGGATTCCTGAAGGAGGTGCCGCCTACTGTGGTGACATAGGGGCTAAAGAGAAGGCAGTATTCAGATAGTGGGTGATTCCAAAGATGGGTGGAGGTGGGTGGGTATAGTCTGGGTCTTACTGGAAAAGGGAATAAGACTGAAAACCTGCATACAGGGTTTATTGAGAGATTGAAAGCTCTCAAGACATGGCTTGAGTTGATTGTGCATACTTTTCTACATGAAAAACAAAACAAAACAAAATTTTGCAACTAAAAAGCCTAGAGACTAAGAAAGAGAAACATTGGTAGCCATGTTCTGCTCAGAAGTCTAGTAGCCTGGGACATACATGAAGAAAAGAGGGAGTACAACAATCAAGACAGGTAAAGCTGAAGGCTGATCCATAGCAGCACCTGGTGGGGTCAGAGTCACAAGTGAAAGATTTGAGGGGTGCTTACCTAGAAGCAGGGAAGCTAGGGCGGAACTTGTGTCTTCCAGAGACAGACCAACACCCAGCTCCAGTGTCACCTAGGAGAGACATAGTAAATATTCAGATTAGTTGATGAGAACTTGGGGTGTAGGATCATATGCCAGAGGAGAAATGTAGGTGTCACCTTTTACTGTAGGTCAGAGTTTACAGGTCATGTCAGTCCCTGCTAAGGCTCTGAGTTCTATTATGAGGCAGAAACCAGGCTGAAGTGTCAATTGGGGCAACATGTCCAGGTTGGGCAGGTGGGAAGTAGAAGTTTAGGGTGGGTTACCTGAGGCAAAAAGTAGGGTGAGACCCCGAGCAGCAGCCTTCATGAACTCAGTGTTGACTCTCTGCATGTAGATGCTGCTGAGAGAGTCTTCATCATCTCCATAACTCACAGTATGTATATTTGGCAAGGTTGACTCATTACTGAGAAGCAGGAGCCACTGCAAGAAGGGCTCCTGTGCCTCATGCCGGCCTGGATTGTTTTAAAAGAAGGGATATGGGTGGTCATTGAAGAGTTGCTAGACTCTCCCTTCAGTCTATGGCATCCCCTTGACAAAATGAAACAGAGATCAACAGCCTACCCCGACCCATTTCTCCCACCACCCTCAACTAATTCTTTTAGCAATACCAGGGCTACTGTAGACCCAAGTGGAGATGTTGGCACCAGCACTCATCAGGTATTCCACATCTAGACTGGCCTCGATTCCAGCTCTGCCTCGCCCCTGTTTTCCAACCACTCTGGCTACTGATGCGTGGTGTGCAAAATCGCCACCGAACAGGCGCATGAACTCAGTCAGATCTGAGTCATGGAAATACTGTTCCAGGAACTGTGGAAACAGTCAAATAAGGGATCATGGATCAGAGAGTGAGGCCCAGCGTAGTAAGGCATTAAAGATATCTTGAGGAGGTTGTGAGGACCCCAGGGTTTCTCATGGCTCACCTGGGCACAGGCCTGGCTGTTGTTGGTGGTGCCAGAGCCCACATCTTGTGCTGTCAGGTTGTATCGCTGACGGAGCACAGATGGCGTCACTCCCAGGTGCAGGCCAACAGTTCCTACCCCCTGTGGCTCTGGGCGTTGTCTCAGAGATGACGTGGGGGGGAAACGGTGCAGTCCCCCCACTGTGGAAAGGAGTCAGGCTTAAGGAGGGCTTACAGACACTACCACTTAACTTTACTACTGCCAACACCCTATGCCTCTTGTGGCATCTAAACTTCAGCCTCTAGATCTGCCTTCCCCAACCTCCACCAACCCCATTGGGTTTACCAAAGTCCACATGAGGGGCCAAGGCCTGGGGGAGCTGGTAGGGATGTGGGGACCTTACAACATGGGTCTCCGAAGGTCCCCCCACATAGCGATGAAACTCAGCTCCAGGGAGCAGCAGCTCAGCCTGCCTGGAAGTCAGAAAACAGGAAGCATGGAGGGGAGCAGAAATGGCCTGAGCCCCACTTACTAGTCAGTCATCTCCCCATGCATTAGCTATACCCACAGGCTCTCAGCAAGCTTTCAACTTCCTCCTTTGGGAGTATTTTATCTCCTTGGTGGGGCAATTGACTCCATGGGGCAGTCATTACTTCTCACCAGACACTTAACCAGCAAGTCACAAAGTCCCGTGTGGTCACTGAATGGCAGTTCCGGGCTCCAGCTGCCAAGAGCCATTTTTGGACGGTGCTCAGGGTCAGTGGTGCTGGTTGGACCAGCTCAGCTACATCCTGTAGGGTTAGGTACTTTCCTGCAGGGGTTCAGAAGAGGATCTTGTCTTGATTAGTGGCTCCTGGGTTGCCTGTTTGGACCTCAATCAGTAGACATCAAGACTTCCCAAGGAGGTTTGTGTAGGTGCTAGGCATATTGGGAATCTAAGGGGAGAAAAGGCTGGAGAGACTTGGAATGTCACGGCCAGGAAATATGCATAGTATGCACTGCCATAGTCACAAAAATTCAAGGAGGTTAATAAACTTTAAATGTCCCATTTTAAGCTTATCTTCAAAAAATTGTTTCCAAACTTTTGGAGCCAATTATACAGAACCATCTAATTTAGCTCAGATCGTCATACTTGTTGATTTTAAACAACATAATGGTGAGTCATTCTTCCCTGCATGCAAAGAGCTTCTTGGGTGATCTGAAGATGCCTCTCTTCCCCGCCTCCATATTCTCTCTCTCTCTCTCTCTCTCTCTCTCTCTCACACACACACACACACACACACACACACACACACACACACACACACACACACAAACACACACACCCTTTCCTCAGAGAGAATGCTCTGGAATAGTGTGAGGAGTGCTCTGGGGAGTGGGGTAGAGGAGAGGAAACAGCAAACCAGGGTGCTGGGCAGTAGTCCAGGAGGGAGAATAAACAACTGAGTTGATGGCAAGAGGGATGGCCAGGGTGGACTAATCCAAAGACAATTTAGGAGTTGAACTAGCAACTTCAGGATTGGAACAGAGGAGGGTGTAGGACTAGAAATGACATCAGGGGAACGGCCATGATTTGATAATTATACATACTAAGTGCTATTTCTCCATTTGGTAGCTGGTAAGTAGAAGTCAAAATTTTAATCTAGATCTGATTATAAAACGTGCTGTCAAACATATCTACCCCACCCCAACCCTTGTCTTACTGGAGGTTGAACCTATGGTTTTACACACACTAGCTGAGTACCCTACCAATGAGTTACCTAAGCTCCCGTGCCCCCCCCCCCCCGAAAAAAAACACTTAAAAAAAATCTTGACAGTCTTACTACACTGCTCAGGCAGGCCTTGGATTCAAAACCTTCCTGCTTTAGTAGGCCTAGATTTGTTCTTTGTTTTAAAGCTGAAGAACTCAGATGTTAAATTTGGGGTATGTGTGTACGTAAATGTGGCAGTTACTGCAACTTGTGTCATACTAGAAACATGACCCTATATGATCTGCACCAGCCAGTGCCTGCCTGTTCCTGCCTCCCACTTCCTGCCCCCACTTCTGATAGGCACCGTATCGAGGAGAGCTGGGATCCGACACAGCCTGCACCAGCTCCGAGAGTCTTTCCAGGTTCTGCTGTTTCAGGGCAAAAGTGAGACTCAGCTCTTCTTCAGGGTCCACGCGGCCCAGGGACACCCAGCCTGGGGGCAGCCTGCAGGGCCAGGGATATGATTTGGTTAGGCCATAGATGGGAAATCCCAGATCGTGGAGAGTTTGGGATTAAGAACTGAGACTTTGGGTGGGATTCCAGATGCAGATAAGTTTCAGAGGAGGTTAAGGCAGGAGATTAAGTCTAAGGGGTGTTGGATAAGGCTAGAGAGTGGGCACTAGAGGCAGTTGTAAGGGTGAGGAAAGCTAGGACCAGGTCAGTGACTGCAGAGAAGGGTATAGGGAAGGCACGGGCAGTTTGAAATCAACTCACATCCACCGCTGGTCCGGCTCAGGGCTATAAGTGCATTTGCCAGTGATGACGAGAGCAAGGAGCCCTAGGAGGCTGCGGGACAGCAGGTGGGTTTCATCAGGAGCTGAACCACCACTGTAGTCCCTCCACATGTGACCCCTCTAATGTAATCCCCTTTGGCTACCCTCCCCACCTCAATTTCTCACCAGGTTTGGCGTCCCATTTTGGCTTTCGGCTGATCTGAAGTCATGTGACAAGTCACATGAGCACTGTCTGTCACCTCCTCCATCTCCCTGCCTAGTAACTAGTGACGTTGCTGACTCCTCCTTCCCAAATGAGCTGTTTTGAATACAGTGGCTGCTATCAGAATACCTCCTCTATACTGTATTGAGTATCCAAGTCCAGGATCACAAAGGAGTGGGCTGTGAAGGTTCATAGGTGTGGGCTGCTCCTGGCTGTACAATATTAGAAAACTAAGCCCTCAGAGCTTAGGTTTCTTCATTTAAAATTCAGTGACTGTTACACAAAAGCAATCTACCTCGTACTTGAGAGTGAAAATGTGCACTGAGATGAAGCAAGCAAATCGTGTAGCTGAGACTGACCAGGCAAAGACTCAGCAAATGTGAGCTCTTATTAATGTAGACATTTCATGATTCCAAGGTATGCGTGCATGGGCAGGGTTGAGGATCTCTTCACTTACCTGTTCTTGTAACCACCCCCATCTTTTTCTAGACCCTCAGGCTTAGAACCCTAGGCTTCTCTCTATTCAGCTCGTCTCTCCAGGAACCACTGCACCCGAGTTCCTGCTCATGTCAGAGGGAAAAGCTTCGGAGAGACCAAGGCTAGGCTCCTGAGCTCCCAGTGCCAGCCCTACTCCAGATGTTCTGGTGTGTTCCATCTCTTTGGGCCTCCTAAGGTACTATGTATGCCAGGTATCCACAGTACTATTCCAGGTGACTTCTGGTTACCCTGACAGAACAGAGCCGGAGGCTGGATACAAACTGCAGTTTATTAAGGCTCCAGAGTGAGAATTGGCACTTGTTCTGGGCAGGGGCAGGGGTGTCAGAGGAACCCAAAGAAGCTGGGCCCTAACAGGTTGGAGGGACCTCCCCCATTCCCCTACCCCCCAATAAATAAAGTCTCAGCTCCATTGCAGGGTGCTGGTGCAGGACAGGAAGTCTTGGCTGAAAAGAACCCAAGGCTGTTGCCTCATTCTTATTTCTCCCCACACTGGATCTGGCCACAGTTCAGTAACCAACAGCCCCTCTGTGGTCCTAGTGCTGAGGAGACTGGGGTGAAATGTGGGACCTGACCCAACTATAAGAGTTTGGGGTGGAGAGCTGGGGACTGGTGGTGGCCTCCCCATGGTCAGTCATGGTCCGAGGCTGCCCAGGGCAGGCTGAGAATGGGGCCTGCTTTGGGGACACTGTACGTATCCCAGGTCGGGGCCCAGTTAGGGCCACAGCTAGATGCGCAGCTCTGTGTCATCAGGCGGCTCCAGGCCAGACTCTGTGCTGAGTGCTGAAGCTGAGGGGCCCTGGGCTACCCCGAAAGGTGAGACAACGGGGGAGCGAGCAGCCAAAGGAGACAGTGAGGGTGAGAAGCTGGGAGACATGGCAGCTGAGGACAGGGAGCCTTCATGGCTGATGGGGGAGCGGTGAGAGGCTGGTGGGAAGATGGCCCGGGCTGCAGCTGTGCTTGCAGGTTTCGGGGGAACAGACTTGGCTCCTGGGTGGGCCACAGCAGTGATGAGGGGCGGCGGGTCAATACGGGGAGCAGGAGGACATGGCCGAGCTTCATCCTTGAGCCGAGCTATCTCTGTGAAGACACTGGCCAGAGGCTGGAACTGAGGGCACCAGCTCAACAGGTAGTCCCAGTTATAGCTGCCACGGAGCTCTTCCTCACCAGCCACGATGGCTGTCAGTGCACCAGCTACACATGGCTTCCCATCTGCTGGGAAGCCATAGTCCCCAGTGGGTGCAGGGCTCAGGCCACAGCCCCCCAGGAAGGCTGTAGCAGTGGCTGGAGGCCCCTCCTCTCGGTACAGAGTGGCTCCTGCACCTGGCAGCAGCAACCCTGCCTTTCGGCCCTTATACCAGGTGTCAGGGGCAGGAGGCTCACAGGATGTGTCACTCAATCCATCTGCATCCTGCTGGATGCCTGAGTCAGGGCCTCGGGCAGCCAGGGAGGAGGCAACACTGGCCACACGGGGAAACTCATTGATCATGCGGATCTCGTCATCCTCTGCAGCCTCTGCTGAGCCTCGGCCACTTGAATGTGAAGGGTCCAGGGAGCCACCACGAGGGTAGGGCCCTCCAGCTCCTGGCCCACCATAGCTGGGGAGAGTCTGATGATACAGGTGTTCAGAGGGTGGTGGACTCGGGGGTTCCCGGCCCAGCTTTTGTAAAGAGCTACTGGCTATGGGTGCTGCTTGTGACATTGGGCCAGGGGCTGCCTCCGCCTTGCGGCTCCGTGCTCGAACAAGGCCCAGGACCAGAGCTGCCAGAGCAAGCACCACCACAACTCCCAAAGAGGCTGCCACAGCCCCTACCAATAGCAAATTGAGGTCAGGTGCCAGGCCCAGAGCAGTGTGGGTAATATCCACAGTCACAGGTACTGTGGCACTCCGGGATCCAGGCAGAGGCCCTCTTGCTACTACCTCCAGCCTTAACTCCCGAGGTGCTTCTCGTCGGGTCCGGCCACCGCCCCCAGAGGTGGTTGTTCCACTTCCTGGTGCCCGACTGTCCACTCGCAGGTACAAAGCACCTGTCGTCTGGTTGATACCAAAATAAGGGGAAGAGGTAGACAGCGAATAGAGCACCAGGCCATCGGCACCCCCATCCTCATCTGTGGCCTGCACATGACCCAGGCTGTGGCCACGCTGGGCACCTTCTGGCACTTGGAAGTGGAAAGTTGGAGCCAGGAATACAGGGTCATATTCATCTTCTCCGGTAACCAGCACTGACACAGTGACAGAGGCTGAGAGATTCCCAGCATCAGCAGCACCCACTAGCAGACGGAAGCTTCCTGTGTGCTCATAGTCAAAAGGCACCCGTGCCCGCAATTCCCCTGTTGAGCTGTTCAGTGAAAATGCTTCACGACCCTCAGGCCCTGGCACTGCCTCCAATAGGCTGTACTGAAGTCTGCCAAATGTCCCAGCATCCCCATCAATTGCATGTAGTGTGGTCACTAGAGTGCCTGGAGGCTGGTTCTCAGCAAGGCTAGTACTGAGCAGATTCAATGGGAAGGCTGGACCATGGTCATTCACATCCTGGACCTCAACTGTTACTGGTACCAAAGCAAAGTGTGTTCCAGCAGGATCAGCTGCCTGTACCACAAGCTGGTGTCGAGCCTGGGTTTCACAGTCCAGAGGACGGGCCAGTCGCAAAGCACCTGAGTTCTCATCCAGCTCAAAGAGCCCCAAAGGGTCACCTGAGCTGAGGGTGAAATGCACAAGGCCATGAGGTCCAGGGTCAGCATCAGAGGCTTCCACATGCAATAGCTCAGCTCCAACAGGCATGTCCTCAGGTACTGTCACACGGTAGGATGCTCGGGTAAAGACAGGTGGGTTGTCATTGACATCCAGTACAGTGACAGTCACTGGCACGGCTGAACTGCGGGGTGGCTGTCCCCGATCAGCTGCAGCCACAGTTAGATTGTACTGTGCCAGGCTTTCAAAGTCTAGAGGCTCAAGCAACACTAGGCAGCCCAATGCCTGGGGACCTGGCCCAACACCCTCTCCCGCCTCAGCCAGCCGGGGTTCCAGCTGGAAGACTCGGCCCCGATTGCCACTGATGATGCTGTAGTCCACAGTGGCATGAGTGCGGCTTCCATCAGCATCTGTGGCCTCCAGGGTGAGCAGGGTGGAACCAGGGGGCAAATCCTCAGACACAGCAACACGGTAGTGTGTCAGTGTGAAGCTTGGGGCATGGTCATTCTGGTCCTGCAGCTGCACATGCACGGTGGCCCGTGCCACCCGGCCTGGAGCCCCGTGGTCTCGTGCTTCCAGCACCACATCCACCACTCCTGGCCCCTCATGGCCCAAGGCCACTGCTCCTACTGTTGTGAACAGAGTTCCTGAGATGAGAAGGATGGGGAAAGAAATAATCATTCAGTGATGTCACTGTGTCAACAAGAGCAATTCTCCAGAGTCTAGGCAATGGCTTTGGGAGTCAGACTCCTAGGAACAGCCCGTGTGCTGAGACAGTATGCAGTGTCCTCAGGTATTCAAAGCTCAGGAAACAGCTTCTAGATATACAGTCAGGAGGGACTTTTATTAAAGATAGGGGGCAGTGGATGTCCTCCCTGGGTCAGAGATCCAGGAGTCGAGATATGACAAAGCAGCAAGTTTTAGGACTGAGTGCTAAATATAACCCAATAGAGTCAATGATAAAGGGATCAGATTCTGGGGAAGACATACCATTGTTGGGGTCAACATTGAAGCCCTCCGCAGGGGAAGCCAGATGGTAGGAAATGTGACCATTGGCGCCAGAGTCTCTGTCAGTGGCAGAGACGGAGAGAATGGCACTGCCTGGTGGGGTGTGCTCCAACATCATCACCTGAAGAGTAACAAAGTATTCGAGGCCAAGCTTCCCAGCTGCCCTGCTGTCCCCCTTAGTCTATGAGCTGGAGGTCGGCCCTATGAACTGTACTTGGCATCCAGCTAAGAACCATATTCCCTAGCATAGGAATAAGAACTGCCCACCTTCTCCCTTCTCATCACAGAATGCAGAACTTGGATGCAGTTCACAGGACTTGGGAAGCTGGCCTAAAATAGGACACTTCCCACCCATTCTTACATCAACCCCAACATCTAGCCCAGTCTAGCCACTTGTCTACCTCTGTTATATTGCTCCAACAGTAACGGTCCCAGGCCCGGGCATGGGGACATCCAGAAAGAGTTGGTACCTGGTAGAGGCTCTGTGAGAAGATAGGTGCATTGTCATTGACATCCTCCACGAGCACTGTGAGGTTGGCATGGCCCTCATGAGGTCCATCATGCGCCAGCAGTTGTAGATAGTAGTGGTCACATTGCTCAAAGTCTAGGGGGCCCGTGAGGGAGACACGTCCTCCATAGCGGCCAATACTGAAGGGATCCTGAGGCCCAGATGGACTCAGCACATACCACAGCACTGGTCCAGAGTCCACATCATTCCCAGTTACCTGCGCGATCTCTGAGCCCAACAGTGCATCTGCAAAACACGAGGGAAAGGTGACTACAGAGTTCTCCTCACTATGCGAGCCCTTTACACCTCTTGTTTTACTCAGCCCTCACCTTCTGACACTCGGAGCTCCCAGGGCTGG